TTCTACAGTTATTCCCCAGCAAATTTAATTCAAACAGGTATTGAGATCTGAAACATGGAGATACCCACAAATTAGAAGACATTTGGTTTTTCAAAAGAAAAGAAAAGAAACCCAGGCCACAGAGAACTCCCCCAAAGCAGCAATAGTGCTTCCATTTCATGTTAATCACTATATTCCTATGAACATGTTTTGAAAGTCAATACTATGAATGAAATTTCTTGAGATCTTCTTTATATGAAATATGCATATTAGACATTTTAAAAATTAAAAATTGTCTTCAAGGAAGTAAATTTTATTTAAAAAATAGAATGCATGTGTAAAATGTGCAAATCAATGCTTTACAATTAAACTCAATGTAAAGGGATAAGTCAGTGTGCAACTTTGCTTTTAGAATTATGAGTTATACAAATATGCCAGTCAACTAGTGTATTAATGATCCCTTTAGAAAATGCAATGTTACTTAATTTTATCACCCCCAAATATGCCTCTTTAAAATATCACATCTTAATATAAAATGATTTAGAGAAATCTCTATTGGAAAATGTTATCTTAATTTTTCAAGCAATTTAAGAATCTTCTCAACTTATAAAACTAATGATAACCTTCAGAATATTTATTACATGTTCATTATAGGATATACTTATAGCTATACTTGAGCCTATCCACTGCATGAGAAAGATTTCTTTGATTTGACCTGTTATTAAGGTCCCAAATCAACTTGTAACCAAAGGAAGTGTTATTTTATTTGAACAGGAACTTGATTTTATAACAGAATAGAGACACTTGTCACCACAAGTCATAAAACTGAATAAAATTAGTCTTGACTCTATTTGCTTTTTGATCACCAGTTTCCAAATAAGCTCCCCTTTGTCACTATACTTAACATATCCATTGTCAAAAGGTATGACCAAGGTGAACAGAAATAGTTAAGCCCCAAAAGTTTAAGGGAATTCTGAGTCATGATTGAAGCTCAAGTTCTGTTTTTCAAATTCTATTGGTATCTGCCAATAGTTCAAAATATAGATGTAAATCTTAGGAGTCACCAACTTTACCTTGTTTGGCACTTCCCTTGTAAGACCCTCATTTCAAATGTAAGGGCCTTAAGATAAAAGCCTTGAATTTCAGGTAGTGTTGCAATTTCTTTCTAATCATGTAACTGCAGAGTTCTTACATAGTCCATATCTAATTTTGGCTCCTGCAGGTTAATCTTGCAAGATTTTGAAATTAGTATATTCTGTGAAGTATTCAATAACTATATGACTAGTGTCCACCCTAATACATAGGTAATGAGCACATTTTGATTCTTATCTCTCAGGCCCGTTACACAGAATATTATAATCAGAAATCTCAGAGATACCCAGTGTCATACCACTGGTTTCAATTAACTGCATGTACATTACATAAAATGTGGCCTACAGCCAATAGATGGATTAGAAAGCAATAAAAGCTAGAGGAGCTGAAGTTGAACCCAAATACACACACTGAAAATATGGCATCTTTTAAAAAAACAAAAGTGTACCAAGATTGAAACATGATATCAGGGAAAGTGATTGGAAACCATCCAGGTCCTGAAATGGTTTATGGTTTAGGCATATTTTTTTTTTCTTAATTGGCCACCAACTCTTCACTGTGGTCTCCTTTCCTAGTTAAATACTGGACTTCAGAAATGATGCAACTACAGGAAGGCTTCAGTGGTCACTGGAGACAAAAGGACCAAATCTGTAAACTCAGGCTGACAAATGACTACCCCAGACAAACTGAAATATCTGGTCCAGCTGTTTTGCATATGTTTGACACTTGCTGGCTTTGAGATTAAAAATATGACTTTCTGCCCCCACAAAGTTCAAGTTAAAAATGCCTTTAAAAAAATAGAGCACCAGAATGCTTTCATACTATGTATAAAAGCTGAATCAAGCACACGGTGAGGGGGAAAATTGATTCCCATTGATAGGCAAACCAAACCATCTGAAAATAGGGTTTATCATGGAAACAGCAAGTTAATGGTACCAAACTCCCAGTAGCTTTACAATTTTGGAGGCAAGTCTTATTTTGCCACCAGTATTGGAAGAAACAAAATAATATACTGGTTTTCTATATTCTACATAATTTAAAATAAGTTATTTTCTAAACACACAAAAAAAGCTTGGTGCCATCTTAAAAATGTCTTTAAAAGCTATTTAAATCCAGCATTGTAAAACCTTTCTGCATCAAATTTGTAGTTACATTATTTTAAGGACACCCACAATAAGAATGCTTTATATTTATTCCTTGGATAGAGAAAAATAATCTTACTCCTTTTTCCCCAGAAATTATCTGATTGAATTATCTTGTGAAGAGACATATTTTGATTTGGTATAAGAATTGCTATTTTTTGTGTTTATACAATAAAACCTTTTCAGATTTTACTATATTAATGTAACAAAGAAAAAAGAACATAAAATAGCATCTTGGAACTTAAAACAGAATGCTATATTTTCAATTAGATTGAACTTTTTCGTTTACCTTGAAATAATGATGACATAAGACAATAGCCTTATAACCATGAGAGTAACTCTATTGTATCAGTGATCTTCATTTTAGCCCCTTGTCATTTTATCACACCACTTGTTTTCATGGAAAATTTAATAAAGATATTTTTAATCTGTAAAGGAATAAGAGACGAGTACTTCAAAGGTATTTAAGGTTTCCCATCTGGCATTTTCTCTTTCTCATAACCTTGTTTCCACATTATAAAATGTGTAAGTAAACTTTGCATCTCTATTTTATACAGATTAATATATATATGTGTATATATATATATATATATATATATATACACATATATATATGTGTGTGTGTGTGTATGTGTAAATAGATATGTACATATATATATTCTACATATATGCATGTATATAAATTCTAAGACTATACCAACTAGATAATGCCTCTGAAGAAGGTTCCTTAAACAATATAAAAATGGAGTCTTCAGAAGCAAACAACAAAACAACCTTATACAACCAACTGCTGTTTAAAATACTTATAAACACGGTCAGTTAACCATTTATAGAATACCTATTTATGGTTTTGGAATATCCAAGATTATGGAAAATATAAGACAATACCTCATAAAAACTGTGATAAAGGTGATGGCTGATGATTTCAAAATAAACCTCCATATTATAAAAAATCATGTAAACTTACCCCTTGAAACAAAAAAAAAGGTTTAATGTTAGAATTAGAGTTCTCTTTTTAATAATTTTCTTTGAGTAAAGAAATAATGTTCAAACTTCTCTTTTATATTGTTACTGTCCTGCAAGCAGATCTTTTCTAGGGACTTCACAATGTCAATCACAATGCAAGTACGATAAGTCTTTGGAAGGATGGGTATGAAGGTTTAAAGATAGGCTTTTTCATTGAATTCCTGAATTTATATACTGTGGGACTGGCCATGAGACACTATAAAATGTAAAGATAGTTTGTAGTTTAGACAGTTTCAACGCTATTCTTTTCAGGCACAAAAACCATATAATTTTGTACAAAACTTTGATTTTTTTATTTGCGAAATTAAAAATATGGTATAATATATATATATAAACTTCTATTCCTCTATAAATATAGATGATTTTGTGATAGTGAACAGAATAAATGCATACCAAATTCAAAGACCATTGTCATTTTAGGGTATGACAGACATAAATTTAGGTCCTAAGTACCGGCATTTTGATAAACTCTTAAAGTTTATAATACAACCAGGAGGATTGCTTGTCTCATCTTTTCCACAGAGAACTAAAGTGAATATTTTAAATGGCTTTGAAAGATTTACATTTGATACATTTCTGTAAATCCCAAAAGGAGCATACAGGATTTAATGCAGCAGACCTGCACAGTTTCCCTTTAGCATGCATGCCCATATTTTGTTAATTTCAGGAGCTAATCCCATCAATTATTCCACCTCCTTTACTTCTGGGACTCTTACCAGGTTGTTATTAATGATGTGGATTGTTCCTCCCTCAGAATGTGTTGCTGAATAAGAACCAGAATATGTCCAAAGTACAACTTTTACATTTTAAAGTTTCTGATATATGTCTAATTATTATTTGATTAAAAAAATTCAGAAAGTAGCACTTCATTTTGAGGAAGTCCATTACACTGAAATCTCCTTCAAGTTTTCATATTCAGTTTATGTCCTGCAGTCCTGTTAAGGAAAGCAAAGATCAGTTCCTCGACAAAGCTTTCCAGGTGACCTCAACATTTCCATTTCACAGAACGCTAAAATCTAAACCCGGACTGTCTCAGTCCTACAGGCAGGTTGCCAGGCATCAGTATACAATTAGAATGAACATTTTATAACCCCCATCTTCAGTCCCTCCCAACCCACGCAGAGCCTCATGCCTCTTCCCAAATCTCAGTAACCACATCTTTCCATGACGCTGGCCAAACTCATACCAGGTTTTAGACACTAGAGAATGAAATGAGCTCATCCACCAAAAATTAGACTTTAAAAAGTTTGGCACTGGTTATCCCACTCGCCCTCTAACCGACTTAGGTGGAAGGAGGGAGTGTCTGGGCGTTGGAGGCCGGTGCAGAGGAAGTCTGGGACTGCCGGCAACCACAGACATGGGCCTCCTTGAAGCGAGGGGGAAGGTTCTCAACAGTGAAAAATTCAGCTTCCGGGAGTCAAAGGGGCAGACCTGGGAAATCTGGCCCCGACAAGGGAAGACTTGAAAGCTTTAAGAAGTTCAGTACCTTAAGATCTCCAAACTCAAGCAAAAAGAGGAAGGGAGGGAGCAGAACAAGGGGGTGGAAAGTGACCCGGACCTGCAGCCCAAGATGCATCCCACCCACCCGGCGGCAGGGCGGCAGGAGGGGCGGCGCGCGCGAACCAGCGGGAGCACCCGGCGGGAGCGCTCTGTTTTTATCTCTGTAGTACTCCGAAAAGGGCAAGAAGGAAAAGCTTCAAATGGTTAAACCGCCCTAAGTAATTCAAATTGAAACAAACAAACAAAGAAAAAAAAGGAAAGAAAAGGAAAAGAAATCGCGTGATCAGTCGTCACTTAAATACAAATATACTTACAAAAATCTTACACAGGCTATTTACAATCATAAAAGCGCACAGTCCTGGTACCGGGGAGAGAGGTCGGTCCATCCCCCCTCGGGCAGTTGGGCCCTGGAGTCCGTTTGCCCCCAGGGACGGAAGCTTTTGCAGGAGCTATGGTGTTAAAAAGAAGCCTGCGAAAGTGTCTAGTGAGGAAGCATAGAGCAGCCAGGGTTGGCCAGGATTCCATGGGGAAAGGTTTTTGGAAAGGTGGCTGGGCCCGGGCCGAGGGCTGGGAACTGGGCTGGGAACGGGCTGAGCGAGCCCCCAGGTCTCAGACGGTGGTCTCCCCCTGTTTGCTGTTGGTGAGTCTCGTGTAAAACTTCCTCCAGGAGTTAAGGGTCTTGCCAGACCAGATCCAGAAGCCTGACGTGATGCCCACGATCAGCGTCATAAGATACTTGATCATGAAGACTGTGAAGTCGGGGCTCATGGGCGGGTGCGGCGGGGGTCCTCCGCCGGCCTGGAGGTGGGGGCAGGGGATGGCATAGCTCTTGCAGCTCTGGGCCACCCAGCTGCGCTCCCACTGGTCCCGGAAGGCCTGCTCGTAGAAGTAGCAGGCGATGACGATGGTGGCCGGCACCGTGTAAAGCACGCTGAAGACGCCGATGCGCACCATGAGCTTCTCCAGTTTCTCGGTCTTGGTGCCATCGTGCTTCATGATGGTGCGAATGCGGAAGAGCGACACGAAGCCGGCCAGCAGAAAGGACGTGCCGATGAACAGGTACACGAAGAGAGGCGCCAGCACGAAGCCACGCAGCGCGTCCACATTGTTGAGCCCCACGAAGCACACCCCGCTCAGCACGTCGCCATCCACCTGGCCCAGCGCCAGGATGGTGATGGTCTTGATGGCCGGCACGGCCCAGGCGGCCAGGTGAAAATATTGCGAGTTGGCCTCGATGGCTTCGTGGCCCCACTTCATGCCGGCCGCCAGGAACCAGGTGAGCGACAGGATCACCCACCAGATGGAGCTGGCCATGCTGAAGAAGTAGAGCATCATGAAGAGGATGGTGCAGCCCTCTTTCTTGGTGCCCTGCGCCACAGTGCGCGCCCCGTCCTCGGAGAACTTGTCGTTACACACCACCCGGTCCTCCAGCAGGAAGCCGGCGATGTAGGCCACGGCCACCGCCGTGTAGCAGCCCGACAGGAAGATGATGGGCCGCTCGGGGTAGCTGAAGCGCCGCATGTCCACCAGGTACGTGAGCACCGTGAAGAGCGTGGAGGCGCAGCACAGCACCGACCAGATGCCGATCCAGGTGCGCGAGAAGCGCAGCTCCTCGGGCCCGAAGTACATGAGCCCGTACACCTTGGTCGGCTCGCAGGGCGCGCCGCAGTCCTTCTCCCCCAGGAAGTGGTAGTTGAGGTAGGAAGGCACCTTGAGGGCGCGCGGGCAGGAGAACTTGCCTCGCTCCGACGCGCCGGCGCCCCCCGGGTAGCCGCCGCCGCGGTGCCCCCCGCCGCCGTGCTGGGGGTTGCTGGTCCAGAACTCGGGCAGCAGCGAGGGCGTCGGCGTGCCCTTGTCCGAAGTGTTCTGGCCCACGCACAGCTCGCCCGCGCCGTGCACCGGGAACTTCTCGCACTTGAGCGTGTCCGGCCACTGGAAGCCGAACTTGTTCATGAGCGCCTCGCAGCCCTGGCGCGCGCGCTCGCAGAGGGAGCGGCAGGGCGGCAGCGCCTGCTCCAGCACCGTGCACACCGGCGCGTACATGGAGCACAAGAAGAACTTGAGCTCGGCCGAGCACTGCACCTTCACCAGCGGGTAGAACTGGTGCACCTCGAGGCCCGCGTCCTCCTGGTTCGTGTGGCCCAGCAGGTTGGGCATAATGGTCTGGTTGTACGCGATGTCCGTGCACAGCGGGATGGAGATGGGCTGGCAGTAGCCGTGGTCCGGGATGGAGATGCCCCGCTCGCCGTTGTATTGCTGCCCGCTCTGTTGCTGCTGAGGCGGCGGCGGCGGGGGCTGCTGACCTGGCCCGGGCCCCTGACCCGCCGCCTGCGCCCGGACCCCAAGCAGCAGCGGAGCTTCCAGCAGCCAAAGCAGCAGCAGGAGCCAGCGCGCCAAGCGCCCGGAGCCAGCTGAGGCGCGCGCGTGCCTGAGTCCCAGCTCCCTCTGCAC